CTTATTACTTGTTTTTTGGCTCGTTACTCGGTTACTATAGAAACAGTGATTTGTTGCCATGGGATACTGACGTCGACGTTGCTGTCGATGTGCGTTATTTTCGCACACTTCGTGATGTTGCGTCTCCAAGAACGTTCACTAAACATGATCGCGTGCCGCMATTAGTAATCCAGCAAGATTTAAGTTTCCCTTGTTCAGGGCGACAACGTGTTTCATGTGACGGACGCCTCGTGAATCGCAGTGTCGACGGCTGCTCGTTCCAGGACCCTATGGCGCGTGTAGTACTTGGTGGCAGACATATTGATATTTTCGCTATGTATGGAGTCAATAAAACTCTAKTACATGAACCAACTCAGAACCTTTCTTTCGCTAAGTCTGATATCTATCCTTTAAAACCTTGCGTATTTCTGGGTTTTAATGTCAACTGCCCTAAGAACATCACATCGGTTTTACAAAGAACATATGGTCATGGTTTTAATATTCCCGCCAAAATGTGTGTCGATGGAAAATGGACAAATCGAAATGATGTTGTGGCTTCTAGTTTGTGATGTGCGCCTGCTTTCAATATTATCACATGAATGCCCTCGGAATATTAATGCCTGGTCTGCACGATCCAATTAAGACTTGATCACATAACATTGCAACGATTTTTGCGTAGGATTGCTATGATCATCATTGCCATGATATATGCTATAACATGTACTTTCAAACTTTTACAGCAGTAGTTAGCAAAGTAACTTTTAATATTTTCTTAGTAAGGGAGATTCTTCATTTCTATTTTCTAAACATAAAATGGTTTTCCTTAAGAAAAGCTCAAGAGTGAGTTTTGTACAATTTTACAATATCGTTTCGTCAAATTTAATTCAATTCTATCGAATTTTATAGCTCCTCTTTTTCTCAGTGGAAGATCGGAGATCATGGTTTTTGTCGCAGTTTTTTAGTAAGAGGATTGGTATTTTTTTTTTGACAAACGGGCAGGCCATATAGTAGTAGAGAGAACGAAAAAGAGTCTTATTTGGTAGAATGGAGCTTCACAATCTTTGATTTTATTATAACACTATAGTCCAGTATTTTTTTATGATTATATTCTATAAAAGTAGTGCATAAATGTTTTTTTAGTTTCTCATACTTGTGGTAAAAATTCAGCTCGTCACATTTGCGCAAAGACGCATCGAAAAAGCTTGTATTTTCTGTACTACTTACGTAGATAATGGTTTTGTGTGATGCTTGGGATTTTAAAAGAGACTGATAAATGCAAAGTCCATGTTAAGAAGTTCATCTTGGAATAAACTTGAAATTGAWACTTGGAAATGGATATATAATCAAACTAGTTCTTGTCTCACTGGTACTCATTACTCACTCATTTAAGCCGTTAGGTTTTGATGAGATATGCTGTACCAAATCTGTGGAAAACGTTATTGCTGCCAGTGAAATATCCCAGGCTTGTTTGCACACGGCTAATAACTCTTCTGATCTCTGTTTTCTTCCCTCTCATCAAACTGTTTTTCAATAGAAATGTGATTTAAGAATGTTCGTACAAAACTTTATTAATTGCGGTTAAATGTACTATAAACTTCAAGACCAGGTTGTTGGAAGACAAAGCTCTAATCCTAGGTTTACTCTTAAAATCCCATGGATTTATGCCAAACGGGATTTGAACGACAGGGACCAGTTAAGTTGCAATTTTACGATTTTCTTTAAATATTCCCGCCTTTTCTGTATTATRATTTTTGGCGGGAAAACGCCTTAGAATTTTCGGTCGATTTGACCTTTAAGTTCGTGTATGAAACCCCACCTGTTGTTTTTGACACGTCCCACCTGTAGATTATATTGATCCTTGMTTTTTAGCTTGAATTATTRATAGGACGAATAAYCRCTTGCAATTGGCTACTSTGAAMRTGWTGCACTTGAGGCTGGACAGTTGACTTGTTGGAGTGTTTCACGGCATACTTAAATCGAGCGGTTAAACATCAAATAAAAATACATTATATCCAACTATTAGTTATGTATTAAGACTTTGTGATTGTTTTGTTTATAATCGTTTATTAGGTCCCTAGTTAGGGGTTATATTGGCGTAAAATACCGTATGGAGCTCTGATCTTATACGCGGTTTCTCCTGATTTGTGATCCGAAACCAAACCAAAACCTGCGTTCATGACGTAATCGCACACAGAACTAAACATCGGTGAATACCAATTCATGTCAACTGCTTGGTCGTGCTTGAAAATTACCCTTCAATGCAACGCTGGTTTATCTGATCAGCAAGACAAGTCAATCAAGAGGCCAAGAGTTTTTTGTTGCCTCCCATTTTGGAATCTACGGGAGTGAAGCGATTGTTGGTGAGGGTCCACCATGAAGACATGCGAACAGGTCTCTYCCATTCAGTACGTTTACTTGGAGTGACCTTCCTCCTTAGCCTACTAATACAATCGCAGCACGGTGAGTAGTATAACATGGTCWTACTTGTCCAAATGTGTTGTTTATTTACGTTAGTTTTCGATCTGTGTAGACGGAGTTCCTCCATGCATGTAATTGTGTACTGTGATGGTCCATGTTGTTTTTTGAAAATAAACTGGTCTCGTAGAACTTTAGTCATTTAGACCTTCATTTTCACATTATATACATAACATTTTCTCTTCACTAAYTGTCGCATGCTTTGCTTTCCAGCCTACGTCCATGGAAACTACGCGCCAAAAGTAGGCGCGCACTTCTGTCGAGAAAATGGCCGACAATTGACATTTACATCTGTAACCAACTTTGCTTCARTGAAGCCTCCAAGCTATGGCTACAGAGCATTGCTATCCAGTACAAARAACATAGAACTTTGTCTCGGCTTGTGTTGTGAYTCATCTTGGTGTAAACACGCGAATTTGGGCCGTGGAAAGTGCTATGGGTTATCGTGCTACGGRGATGAATGCCGAGGGATTTTTCAAATTCCTTCACGTTCTCATGGAATTGGAAGAAGACGAAACAAGAAGAAATCGCCGTCCCTTCGCCAAACTGGTAAGATATTTTGGATATTTAATTCAAGTATGAAATAAGAATTGAATTAGGGTAACATTTATTTTCGAAACAAGTATTGTTGCACCGACTTTTACATTTTATTATGAMAATTCATTATTTTTAATGTTATCCTATTTTAATTTTTGTCTCATGTATGAAAAAGTGTTGTTAWAAAGCGTTTKTTTTTAAATTTATAATCGACATAGAAACTGACCCTRGACATAAAAATGGRCCGTGAAAACGGCCCATTAAACGGACCCATTGTTGCATAATACTTGGGAACTCTATGAGATTCTATTCATTTGAGATTGGATACAATAGCTTAAATAGAAAGTACCCTAATACCGCGGTAATCAAAACGTTTTCGGATCATTTTCTGATTGTTTAACTATCTCAATTGGCCTTTGTCGCAAAGTGTTAAATTTAGTCATTTCATAATCAAAATACTCCGTGATCCAGGTCAGAAAACCACAAACAACAGATTGTTTTCAATAATATTTTGATCGTMCGAAGTAGAAACGTTTGMAATWAMCATGCAATGACTAGTTGRCTCTAGAAAACTGTGAAATAAGAGTGAAAGATGTCAAAACTTTGTTGACTTTTTTGTGGTAAAATTTAGAATTATTCCTTCTGTAACTTACTTTTATTCTGTAGTTAGCAAGCTTTTGTTATTATGTTTCTATTCCAAAACAAAACTGATACCTAAGAAATAAATTTTGACGTTTTTGTGGTTTTCAGTTCATTAAATGACAGTTGAATTTGAAAACCATGAACTTGGAAGCTATGAACCTGCTGGGATAGTTTTGTGTTTCTTTCGCTTTTTTTCATTTCTGATCTTTTTTCTTGTTATGAGGTTGTTTTTGCAGATGAGAATTGTGAGGTATTTTTATGAATGACAAAACAACTCAAAAAGTATCAACAAAAATCGCTGGAATTAAAAAGTCGCAAATAATGTTTAAAGTACTATCAATGATAACGCCTGCAATTTATGGGTATTAAGACTAATTACAMCAAAAATAGCTATATGACTTACTAATGATTAGTTCAACAGAAAAGTGACAGATTTGAAAGCGCGCGCTTTTAGTTTAGTACTAGTATATTTATATATACCTAAGTGTAAAAACGTTATCATAAAAAAATAAATTTATAAAAAAATATATAGTAAAAAGGGATATTTTAACAAAGACAAAAAGAGATCACTTTCTTTTGTCGATTCATTTTTTTTCCTTTTTACTAAATTCAAATATTCTATTTCTCTATGATTTGGTGTTTATTATTTTTAGAATTTCCAATCTTTTCTTTCTCTTTGTCTTTTTTTTTTAAATTTCTTGAATTCTTAAAATGTTGATCACCATGAATAATATTTGATTTTTTTAACGGTTTTTGTCAGTTTATCATATGGGTCAGTTAGCGACGTGCACCGCGTTGTACCCCGTAACCCACAAACTTGAATAATCCCTCACCCGTATAAAGTTATCTGTAGCGTTTTAAAACACTTTAAAAGTTGTATCAGCAGATWTTCAAATTAARTTTTACAMAAGAGTGCAAACAAATTAATGAAGTTAAGTGGATTTRCATAAACTCGRCAAATACACTYCACTCTTTGATTGGCTTTTAGTTCGTCCGTAACCTCCTGCCTCCCTGTCGGACGTCTTTGTCTACGGATAGGAGTAAAAATAAAAAAAAATTAAAAAGGAAAAAGGGAAAAATAAAAATCGGAGCTAGTTTTGTGGTAATAGAATTGATTGTGAAGTTCACTTTAAGCCCAAAGCAAGTGTGCGCACGCGCATTCTCATACCCAGATAATTTTCAGTTTAAGGGAAATCGAAGACTCTGTTTGGAGACGAATGAATCTTTTATTTGATTGGCTCAAACATTCCCACGCGCCATCAGTATATCGTAAGACCCAGACCCTTTGATTTTCCCTTGGGAAGAAACTGAGAACGGTCTGGGTAAGAGAGCCATGGCGCAAGTGCAGTCGCGAAATTTGTTAACGGGAATGTTTTTTTGTACCCAAAATCGTATTTTACTTTGCACATGCGCAACATAAGAAATAACTTCGCAATGTATACGCAGTGCAGAATATTAGTGATTAGTGAGGTATCAATAGACTAAAAATTGTTCTTTTCGCGTTTAAAAGCAAAGTGGAAGCCATTTTTGTCGCACGCCTCAGTGCCAAGTAATGCCAAAACAATGAATTTTTTCACGGAAAAAAAATATTCTCCCGACATTGCAAAAGATAAACAAGTGAAAAAAGTCAATATTTTGATTGTTCGCCGATTCTGCCTCTCTTTAATGCGAAAACAACAGGCACCTCGCACAAAATTTTTTTCTAACAGCTATAAAATTATAGTTTATGGGACGTTTGGTGATTGTCATTTGGTTGACATTTTCGAGGGAAACGTTCATTAGAATGTAATTCATTATTTTTTTAATGTCTATTTTTAACGGGTCATTGAACCGAATAGAACACTTGCCATCAATTTTATTACATCTATAAGCGTTTTATTTAACAATTGTAGGATTATATTCAAGTTTTCAAGTTTATGTAAAGTTGATATTTGAATATGTTTTCCCCAATCTCTTTACAAAGGTGTACGCCGTGCACGCACACAACTAAAAAACCAGAGCGAAAAAAGCTTACAAAACCCATAAATGTAAAAGAAAAAGAAAAAGAAAAGAAAGAATGAAAAAAGAAGAAATAAAAAGCTAAAGATATCACAAACCTAGACCAAACTTCACGTCCTCCCTCCCTCCCTCCTTTAACACGTTAGCTTAAAACATACTGGCTAAAAACATGGTTCCTTAACACCTTATCAGGAGAGTACGTTTATTTTTACATTGTAAAAGTCACTAAACGTTTTGTGCCGTGTCGATGACTGTACCTTAAGACGAAGACGGTTTACTGCTAGCAGTCAATTTAGCCCTCTGATTTTTTTCACGTCCTACGAAATCCGCTCTAATTCTGCTGGCAGTTAATTTATCCCTCTGGTTCAAGTTTTTTTTTTTTACAACAAATTTACATATTTTTTATACTTATTTGTCCTTTTTCATAACAAGCACTTTATCTTGTCAACTAAATAGCAATTATGAGCAACAAAGCAGTTTCAGTTTTCAGCATCATCACTATCATCTGTGTTWGATATCATCAATGGTTTCAATCTTTACAACCATTCATACAATATTTTCAATAGATGTCTTCAACCCTTGGCGAAATGGCGCCGATAGCAATTGTCTAAGAACWGCCATCATATTCAACGTGACCTTAGGCTCAGGGACACAAGCTGGTAAGCTAACGGACCATGGAGTCGTTAAAACTATGGCAGACTGCCAGGCAAAATGCTGCGCCATGCCGCGATGCGATGTGTCGTTTATGGTGGGCAGACGTTGRATATCAGTTGTGTGTCACAGCGAAGATAGCTGTCAGTGGATACCAGTYTTTGACAGCAAGTATAGGCTACAGCTGTCGTATGTTACTAGTCCTCACAGYATCAGACAACAGGCTCAACAAGGTAAATGAATCATTTTGAATCAATCTGTCAATCAAAGTAGTTCTCTCACTGTGATTGGCCAATTTCCTCATAACTATCTTATAGGTGGTCACAGTTGCGCGCATTGCACTTTAATATGCTAATGAGTTTTGAATATCAAACTAATAAATTATAATGAGAAACAAATGAAAAACCTCCGAACATTATATGAAATAATATCTTATTTTAAATAGCTTGATAAGGCTCTTACACTGTAGCAATCGAGCACAATTTTTCTAAAAATCTCTCAGAAATTAAATACTCTTGCTTCCACATACCACGTGATCACTTATCAATTAATACTGTAATTACAGTAGGGTATGTGATAGTTGCCTCTTATAAGAGATATATATAGAACTGTCCGTTTTAAAGGTGTCTGAAACAAGGAGAAGTCTTTATATAGAGGTGTTAAATATTAGTACACTTTAACAGGTGTGATAACAAGCCTTAAAATGATGTATATTATTTAAACTATTGAATGCATCAGATTGAATTACGGGACTAAAGCAAAAATAATAAAGCTCCCAGTTTCCAATGCATTTATGTTTTTGTTTTTCAAAGCAAAGCTYTKAATWACCAGTCYAAAATTATTCAATTATGAATTGAAAGTCATTAAATCTACAACTATACATTAATAGATGCCCCAAACTCTACATGGATGCAAAAAGAAGGCCATTTTCAATGACAATCGTATARTAATCAGGCAGATACCAGCAGATATCTCTATGACAACACTATTCCAGGATAGTTGCTAYGGGCAACGTTACCAGCTAGTGATTATTCTAGGTGTTGACCTCGATTTTTGATTGGTTARTTCTCGTCTAATAACAAAGTAACAACCATGTATGCAGTGATCTCGCACGAGTCACCTGTGATTAATAAATATTAAACTAGTCCACCTGCACTGATGGTAACACGACTCGAGCTAKCCYTAGAATGAGYCATTTCCCTCYAGACAATAGACTAGTAATATAATGCGTTGGAAGGAAAGAAAACGTTTTGTAGCTTACAGAAATATGGACACCCTGCGGTCCAGTATACATTGGAGGAACTATCAGCCATTGTTGTCCTTGATTAGTTATGACAAAGAGGTTTGTAAGCTAGTAAATAGATATTTAAAACAAACCAAATAATTCATTTAATACAAACGTGGCTTAAATTCATAAAGAGAAAATGTCCAAGATGGTTTTACTACATACGGGGTATCTTATTTCTTTATAAAGTTACCAATTTAGCAATGTGCTATAGCTTGAAGGTGTCAAAGAATATTCCATTGATTGCTCATCGCATGAAAGATGTTTCTAAACAAACTCTGTTTATATTTTATACGACCACAAAATTTACACACGTCGAAATTTAATGTCCACACATATTCCTACATACTCTATTTGAATTTAATCACACATTGCCTTAGTGCCTATTTTCTAATTCTAATCTATGATATTGTATCCTATAGTTTTTGAATATTGTGTTGTTTGTTTTCGTTTCGATTGAGTGATTAAATTTAACCAGTTTCAGAGAAACAATATTTTCTGTACGCACGCTAACTTGGTATTCTCGTATTTGTGAAATTGAAAAGACGTTTTCTTTGCCACACTTTGRAACTACTCTTTCATGTTGACTGTCGTTATTTCTTATTCATTTATTGAATTGTCTCAAAGTAATTTGTTGAAACAATCTACTATTCACATTTCTTATTCTGTTATTGTAATTATTATTTTATTTATACCGCGCTTCCAACAACTATTGAATCTGTAAAGKCCATGATTTTTGCAGCGCGATAATCACCCCTTTGCTATCGTGTAACTAAAATAGTACTCGTAAACAGCCCTGCGATTGTCAAGGCTGCAGCCAATTTTCAAGCATGTTCGAAACTCAGGCGATGGTTGCGCGACAGAGGCGCGACGATCGCCGCGCGAATCGCTCTGCAAAAACCGCAAGTGTAAACGAGTCTTAAGGCTTGCTATGAGAGATGTCGCGCTGGTTTTATCAAAATTATTTAGTTGTTTAAAACATCCTAAAGCWGAAAGCAGTTAGACCTATATTTTTTCCTTGGGAAATGTTCACGTCATCATGTCCTGTTCACACAAAAAGCTTTAAGTCATAGCATTTCAGTTAATAATTTATAAAGTTAAGTCCACCATGTTTTATTTGCAGAAGTGGGGACCTCGACTGTATCTGCCCAAAAGAAGCCACAGTCACCAAAMCACAAGCTTCCAAAGAACCCATCGCAAGAAAAAGTGGCATATCAAAAMATACACTCTCATGCCAACATTCAGGCTTTAAAGAAAAGTCACAAATTTACATATGGAAAGGTTATTAGAAAGAATTTTGCCAGGAAAGGTTTGGAAGTTCTTCAAAACACACCCAGAAATAATAATGTTGTCAAGAGGGTAAATGTGTCCAGGTCAAATGGACGTAAGAAAAACACMAAGAAAACTAACATCAAAAGTCAAAAAGGTGCAAGCAATAGATCTCACCAAAAGATCAAGGCAKCAAGTCARCCAAAGTCATTGAAGACTTCTTATYTCATGCACCTCTTAAACAGGAAGGRCCCTCGACCTTCATCTGTGTCAYCTAAATCTGTTTCTAGAGCAGGTGGCTTTCGCAAGTACACWYTCAAGGCTACCAAAKAGAGTAGTGTTGCAAGTAGACATTCCACACTCAAAAGTGTACAGGCATTGAGTGCTCGTATACCCAACCGTTTAGCGAAGGTATTTCAACACGAGAAAACTAAAACAATACCTTCTTCAAAAGACCAATCAATAAGAAAACCATCACGAACTTCACCCAAACATAAGTCTTCCAACTTTAGAATGCTAAAATCATCAAAYATTTCCAAGAAAACACCAAGCTCTACATTAAAGAAATCACCAAAAAACACCATCCACCAAAACSTATTCACTGCTCACACGGCGCCATACACGAAGAGCGTTCCGTCGACGACATCCTGTCAGATAACTAGCYTGCTCAATGACTATTCTCTGCGCTATGCCGCGAAAGCAGGTCGCTTTTCATTCGTCGGTCAATTCACGAAGATAGAGGACTGTGCAAACCTATGTTGTAGGGACTTGCATTGTAATCTTGCRATGCTAGTAAATCATAATTGCTTRAAAGTGCAATGCTTTGGGATATTTTGCCAAACGATTCCCATCAAACGTCTTGGGTTCCACTCGAAGTTAGCCTTCGTTMCCAGGTCCTCAGGTAAGCTGGGACTTTGACTATGTGATGAGTTAAGGTTAATTGAGCATGTTACCGCGGGCTTCCTGTGTAGCTTRGTGGGTTTGCACTCATGGCCGACATCAAGAGCTCAAAGCTACACAGGAAGCCCGCGGTAACAGAGCACATTTCGTATGACTCGGTAGAACGACYCTGATCGCAARACGGTGCATTCATATAGCTTCCTCATGGACGGGTAATTTAAAGCACGATAAGCGTTATATCAAGGTTAACTAATCATTGAATTGAGATTATTAAAAGATTACTGTACAGACCATGACACGAAGTTTTGCATACGAAATCTGCTCTTTAGTTTTTATACTAATGTTAGTGATAGAAACAATGCGATTGTCACTACGTGTTGATGTTGATGATTATTGGTGCAAGAATATATGTTGTCAATCGTGTCTCGTTGATGATCATGATGATGATTGAGTTGATACAATTGTGACACTGTTGATGTTGATGATAATTAGTGCAAAGATGTATGCTGTCAATCATGTCTCGTTAATGATCGTGATGATGATTATGTTGATTATGCTACTTACATAATACATTCTCATCGTTCACGTTTTTATTTCCAGGTCTATCTTCACACAAGTTCCCGTCTCCTCGAACATCATATCTTCCCACGGGACCGGTCTCTTACTATGTTACGCTAAATGGACGTGAGAGACCTCCCGGAATTGTTCAAGGAAGATATGGAAGTCGGGGTGGGGTATCCCAAAGGAAGATAGATATAAGAACAACTGTAAAACCAAGCTTTTCTACAGTTGTTGAATCTAAGAGGAAGTCGTTACTGCACCCTACTTTCAAAGTAACTTCGTCACCAAGACATATCACTGTCGTGGAACRGGGTATGAAATCTAAAGYGCACCATATATCAAACACGCATTCTTTGCTCAGTCATAATGCAAAGAAAACCAAGACATCAAAGCAAGTACAAAAGACTAAATCCAGTRCATCAAAATCTTCATTATCAGGTCTCCATCATCAAAGTGTTAAATTCAAAACCTCAGCACAAATGCAGAAGCAACGATCCGGTTCACCGAAATTGTCTTCATCAWTGCAACATGAAGCAAAGAATTTYAAGACTTCTGCTCATGTTAAAAAGCCTAAATCCAGTCCGTCGATAAAACCAATTTCATCTTCTCATCGTGAAGCAAAGAAACCTCTTAGGGCATCARCACYAGRCCAAAAGCTCAAGCCCAGTCCAGTCCAKGCTTCAAGCAGTTCAACGCAAGCTGCAGTAATTCATGCAATTATAAATCACATTTCCGAAAGAATATCAAAGATGCATAAGGAGAGCAATATACAACCTCACCCCACCTCGCATAAAAGCACCAAAGTGCAACCTCATTCACTGACAAATAAAGTTAGCGCAAATTCACGAAATGCAATATTAAAGGAACTCAAACAGATAAATATTCATCCAAAGRTACACAGCAGTGAAACTTTTTCAAATCCTATTGCGGGAGGAATGMCGAGCTTAAAAGATCGATTTGAAAATCTCGACACACTTTTGAGCTTGTCTATGATTCACAAGAAGCACGCTATAGAAGTAGCTAAATATTTATTCCGCATTGGCAAAATGACATCAAACACAGGATTGAGAATGGTGCTTGCACAGCAAAAGAACCTTGCTAAGTCAAAGAATAAAGCCGACATCGAACGCTCTAAAAGCTCCATAATGGTAGGCCGTCGAGTCATGAATATTGGAATGCAGGTTCTCAACCGCGCGATTACCTTGGTGAAGTCAGCGGTAGAGGACAGCAAAGATATTRCCAAAACCGTACATCCAAACCATCCAACGGCTAAACCAATCAATCGATTTCTTCCCAAAGATTTCAGACTTGTAGTGCCAGTAGTTAAGATGGTGTCTRTGTGTAGCCACAGCCCRATCCATAAAGGCCTCACCTTGCGCGGTGGGTTCCATTCAGGAAAGTTCTATGCTCAAGGCAAAGTAAAAAACATGCAAACTTGTATRAAACTTTGCTGTGCGCGTGAAAACTGTGACTTGGCGTTCATGGTGAAGTCGTTTTGCTACTCAGTGTCWTGCTACAAGCACGAYATGTGTAAAAGTGTCAATGCTTACCACGTGACCAAGTATCATCCACAAGTTGCATATGTATTCAAAGGTAAAAAGGCCAAAGAAAATGCTGACTTGGAACTAAAAACAACAACTTCTAAACCACACAAGAGCACTTCACATTCAAATGTTGCGAGAATTACCACAAACCCGACTAAAACGTCCAGTTCATATTCAAAGTACATTAAAAAGTTAGTAATGAAAGTGTCTGAAGATAAAATCGCTCCCTCCACAGTCTCAACGCCCGCGCCGACTGATCATGCACCAAACGAGCATTCGTCTACTAAGTCAATATCAGAAAGTCACGGAGATTTCTGTCCTCAATCCCATCTTGTGCACAATGTTGGGATTTTATACGGCCTTAAGGCAGGCAATTATACCTATTTTGGTGAAACAAGTGGCATGGAAATGTGCATCAAAAATTGCTGCTCTCAGATTAGATGTGACATTGCTTTAATGCTCGATAGCTTTTGCTACGGTATTGAATGTTCTTCGGCTCAAACTTGTCGAATAACAACCATTCACAACAGCAAATACCAATCAAAGGCGGTTTATATACCCCGTCGATTCAATAAAGATAAGAGTTCCGAGTTGCAAAGGCAAGTTGAACAAACGAGAAAAGAAAAACTGGACATTGAAAATACTGTYAATTTTATTGAAAATGCTCTCAACCTGAATCAGTCAACAACTCATGGACTTTCTAACGTCGATAAACTGCTTGAACAAAAAGTGATGCTTCTTGTTAATCACAATGGTCATCATGAAAGTACGTTAGTGCGAAAAGGAAACATTGTCATTGACAAGAAGACGGAGCCATTGAAAAAGAAGGAAGTAGTAGTCACCAAACAAGGAGCAATAATAGAGCAAGAAACTAAACCAAAAGAAAAGCATGTCGGAAGAAAATCGTATAATTTAAACCATGAAAAATCACCAAAAATGGAACATACGCCGACTAAAGCAAGACATCCTAATACAGTAACATTGAAAAGCTARTCCCCATATCCTAGAAGGCGTACATATTTTCTCTGGAATAATACATCTGCTCATCCGTTTAAAACTGAGAAAAGAATTTCTCACGTCCCT